GGATGGGCTGCAGTCCCTCGTTCAGGCGCGTGCGCTCCCACACCTTGGACCACTGGAACGACTTGCGGCTCAGGCCCTCGCTCGGCTCGTACTTGGCCCACAGCGAGTGCTCGTGCAGAGACGGTTCCTTGTTCGTGCGGGGCCCATTATACGAGTAGTCTGTGCCGAACAGCGCGAGGGGGCGCGGCAGGAACTGGTACGAAAGGACGAGTGTCGCGTAAAAGTCCATGATGCGGCAGTGCATCTTCTTGTTGCGGGCCTTGCGCAGCAGGGGGCCAAGCAGGTAGTAGATGCCGCGCGACGAGCGCGCCACGCGGTCCATAGCCTGCAGGCTCATGGGATGCGCCTCTTCGTGCGCCATCGCAAGCAGGTGCGCAATCAACACGTCCGTCGAGCACTGCGCAATCGTGTAGTAGGCCGCGAGCGTCCAGCACGAGCCGCTCACCGCCGAAGACCACGTCGTGCACTGCCACAAGCCCGTGTTCTCCGCCTCCTTGAGGAAGCCCGCGTAGCCAAACATGGCGCGGTAACCGCCGCCAGAGCCGCCGATAGCAATGAGCGGCACATCGTCGGGATGCACGTACTCGCCTTCCGGCAGCTGGAGGAACTGTGCCAGCGCATTCGTGCCTTCGGACGACATGAGGCGCCGCCGCTCGTCGATCGCCGCGCGCTCTTCCGCGTGCAGGTCCGAGGAGCACCGTACCTGGGCGTCCCAGTCGAGCTCAGGGAATGTGTCCACGTCCTCGTCGTCCACAGCCACGAGGCGCCGCAGATGCGACATGTCGTGCCACCGCAGCCGCCACCGCTCGAATATCGGGATGCGTGGCAGGCGCACCGGCGGCGGCAGCGACAGGGGGATCTGCGGCGGCGGAAACAGGAACGGAAAGCGGCGCTCCTGCCACCACGCACCGAGCGACTGCATGCCCGTGAGCGTATGGCCCTCCTCTCCCTCTCCACGGCTCTCGCGCTTCGTTGCACTGGCCAGCAGCGCCTGCATGCGCCCCCACGACGACATGCCATGCCCGCCCTCGGTCGACTCGTACCAGGTCCACGGGCCATTCGCGTTTAGCCGTGAAGACAGCGGCCGCGCAGCAAAGAGGGTCACTAGCGTACATATCAGATAGCACTTTAGAAACAGGTAGCTCGGCGACGAGCGGATCTTGTGCACGAGACCCATCGCCCCCTCGCCGAGCCGTGCGGCGTAGCGACTCGACGGAGCGCGTACCGCGACGGTCACTGCCACGTGGCTCACGTGCTAAAACCCAAGCGCATGCATGTGCCACGGCAGGTCCTCGTCCTCGTGGTCCGTGCGAGCATTCACATCGCCTTGCGCTAGCACGTGGTGCAGGCGCGCGAGTGCGTGCCGGTACGACTCGGGCGACGCCCCGGGCACAGAGACCATCGTCGAAGTCAATGAGAAGCTCGAAATGGACGTGCCTGTCTCGGACTCGGGCGCATTGGCCTCCTTCTCGGCAGCCTCGCGCTCCGCCTCCGCCGCTGCAGCGACGTGGGCCGCGGCGCCCGTCGGCACACGGTCCACGTCGCCCGGCGCAGGCGCAAACTGCGCCTCGTACTCTGCGAGCTTCGCAGAAATGGTGCTGGGCTCCGCCTCCAGCACACACGCGCGCGCAGCGCGCACGCGCGCCTTTGCCGCACGGAGACTCGCGCCCAGCTCGTCGCAGTACGTAAAGAGGGATTTTTCGCGCGCCTTGGAGACGAGAATTTCATTCTGGAGAAAGGAGACGCTATGCTGCGTCTCGGCAAAATTACGCTCGACCGCTTTCTGCAGGCCAGTGCGGTCCAGCGCGTGGGCGCTCTTGCCGGGCAGGTGCGTCAGGTCAAGCAAGTCAATCGTCGGGGCGCGGTGTACGAGCACCTGGCGCATGCGTGCCTTGGCGATCCACGTGTAATAGTCGCCCAGCTCGCTCTTGGCCCGCAGCAGGAGGGGCGATGACATTTTGGTCATCTTGGACACACTCGCGGGCAGCACGCGGTCACGGCTGTCGTTCGCGATGCCCAGCCGGATCGACAGCTGAAGCACCTCGCACAAGATCTTTTGAACACGTTTTAGGCGCGTCTCCGCTTCATTCAGAGCCGTGCGCGCGCGCTTTTCGCGCTGCCTCTCGAGCGGCACCAGCCGCAGCACAAGCTCCCGCACATCGATCTCCTGCGCGAGCCGGTCAAGGGCTGGGTAAGATAGGCCACGGGGAAATAGCTTCTGGCTCATTGCATCCATCTGGGCCTCGAGCGACTGGGCCTCGAGCTGCCGCCGCATTAGGTCCGTGCGCAGCGTCTCCAGGCGCTGGTGCTGCTTCTTCGCATCTTCAAGCAGATGCGACGACTCCTCCGCCGCCTCTGCACTCGAAGCCGCCTCCTCTGTTGCCGCAGTAGCTCGCAGGTACCGGCGCGAGCCCTTGGGCGCAAGTCGCGTAAGAAACTGCTTCCGCAGGCGCTCCTGCTCCCGCTGCTGCGTGGCACTTCGTTAGCACAGGCACGTACGCAGCATTTCGGAGTCGCGTCTCCGTGGCGGTGCGCGACTGGATCACGCCCATGATTTTCCCCAGCTGCTGCTGCGTGGACGCGAGCTGCTGAGGCACAGCTTCCAAAGCAGTCCATCGGTCTGGGTCAGCCACATCTACGCACGGTACAGCTCGAGAAACTGTGTCAGCAGCTAACACGTACCTCTTGCTTCTCCGCCGGCGTCGGTACGCCAGGCGCTAGTGTCGCAGTCGACGAGAGCGACAGCGTATCCGCCGCCGCCCGCGGCCCATCGATCATGGCGGGCCCAAAAAGTGGAGGAAATGTCGTCGCCGCGGCACGCCTTTGACGACATGGACGAGGCGGGCCGTACCGAGGGCGTCGATGGAGGCATCGTCTATCGGTACCAGCAGGAGATTGCGCAGATGGTACGTGTGGAAACTGACATGAGATGTTTGTGTCGACCGAGATCGACAACCCCGACCCCCGAGTGACACGCCTGATCGAAGACATTGTGCGGAACCAGGTGATTGAAATGGTACGTGGCCTCGCTCACCCAGATCATCCAGTCGCGTCAACTTGCACAGCGGCGCCAGTCCAAGTACCTCTCTCCGGAGGACCTCATCTTCTTGATCCGGTACGACCGGGCGAAGGTGAACCGCCTGCGTACCTACCTGAGCTGGAAGGATGTGCGCAAGAATGCCAAGGACAGCGGCGGCGATACCGCCGGGCCGGGCGGCGGTGGCGCTGATGGCGACGGCATGGACGACGCGGGCGACGATAGCCCGCTTCGCGTGAACAAGCGCAAAATGCGCTTGCCTTGGGACCTCGGTTCGGTCTTGAACGACTTTCCGCGCGTGGCCGGCGCGCCCGCCGACGACGCCGACGATGACGACGAAGATACTATCGAGACAAATGAAGACTCGCTGCGTCGCCTCAAGGCAGCCGATGAGACGACGCGCCGCATGACGCGCGACGAATATGTATTCTACTCCGAATGCCGACAGGCCTCGTTCACCTTCCGCAAGGCAAAGCGGTTCCGCGAGTTTATTCACGCCAATTTGTACTTGGACGTGAAGCCCAGCGACGATACCGTGGATATCCTGGGCTTCCTTGCCTTTGAGGTCGTGCATGAGCTATGTACGCGTGCGATGCAAATCAAGCAGGACTGGGATGCGCGCGCGCAGGCCGTGCGCACACAAAAGGAGAACGTCGACAGCAGCTCGCTGGATCGCGAAGCGCAGTGCACCCTGTTCAGCTTGCCGCCAAGTATCGAGTCGCCCCTCGAGGCATGGCACATACGTGAGGCGTTTACAGCGCTCCAGCGCGAGCACAAGTTTATGGAACTCGGTCGCGGCACGGCAGGTCCGGCCGGCGGACTCCGCCGCACGCAAGTGTTTGTTATTTAGGCGGCGCCGCTGACTCGTACCGCCGCCGCGCCGTCTCGCGCCCTTGCGCCTGGTACCGCGCTTGCGAGGAGCCCTGCGCATATGTCTCGGCATCGAGCATCCCTGTGCTCCCGAGACCCGCCCGGCCCGCTGCGACGCGCGGTACGACCGGCGCTTGCACCGGCACAGCCGCGCCGCCGTCCTGTGCCATCTTAGCCAGCAGCTGATAGCCCACATGATCGCTTCCCAGCGGCGCCGAGGGGGCCGATACAGGCGGTGAAGAAGCCACAGGCAGTACCGGCGGCCCCTGACTCGGCTGCTTGGTGCGTCGCATAGCAGCGCGGTCGCGATAGGCCGACGCTGTGCGCGGAGCCAACTCTGTGGAGTGGGAGGGAGGGAAATAGGCCTTTTTCAGTTGGTGCAAGCGCTTGCGCCCATCTGCCTGGACCTGGTAACGTCCGTTGCTAGGGGGATGCGTGGTGGGCGGGTGCGACGCATTGGACGTCTGCTTCCCAGCGAGGGGCGCCAAGGGTATCTCATTGAGCCCGTCTGGGCTTATAGCGCACCTGTCACATACGTCCCAGGCCGTGCCATGGAGATGCACTTCGAACACGGTGCACTGCAAACCAATACGCAGGAGGTCATAGTGGTGCAAGTCATAGGGCTGGCTGGCATGTTTGGGCTGGGAGAGGCGCTCGAAGGACGAGTCAGGTAGCGCAGCCAGCTCGCCGGTCGAGGTAGGCCGATCGCGGCGACACACGAACGTGCCATGCGTAGAGCCGGTGTCTGACACCGAGTAGCGTATGGGCGCACGCGAGTTGGAGTAGATGTTGGCGTGGTGCTTGCTGACCTCCATAGAGGGCAGGCGCAGTCGCGGTGTGAATGTCTTGTCACGCCCGATACTCACACCACCGCGGCGCCCGTCGACAATTGCAACCGCCTGGGCGCGAGGCAGCGCGTCTGAGGATAACTTGACAAGACGCAAAAATGGATGCGCATCGTGGGCCTCGGCGGCCTCGGAGGCCACAGCATGGGCCTCCATGGGGCACGAGACAGACGCGCACGAGACCAGCGTCCCTGCCACGTCTTTTCGTTCCACGGTAATATATACGTCTGTTGGACTTTCATCGGTAAGGCAAGGTGCCGGAGTGGTTAACGGGTTCGCCTCGAATTCAATTCGACGCCGAGTACGGCGGTAAGCGAATGGGCTCTGCCCGCACAGGTTCGAATCCTGTTCTTGTCGGATCCTTTTTAGCCTACCCATACTATTAGTCGTAAACTCATATTTGCACAATCCTGAGCACAGCCCCACATAGGGCAAGGTGCCGGAGTGGTTAACGGGTTCGCCTCGAATTCAATTCGACGCCGAGTACGGCGGTAAGCGAATGGGCTCTGCCCGCACAGGTTCGAGTCCTGTTCTTGTCGATTTTTTGCTCCCAGGCAGGGCCCCTGGCATTTTTGGAATTTCGACGCCTTCTTCCTGGGCGACACGGCTTGTTCGTGCATCGACTTCTTCATGCGAGCTGTGCGTGTGATCCGCCCTGCCCTGCGCGCACGCGGGCCCCTGGTGCCTACGCCCAGGGCGGCTCCCGCCATGCGTTCTGTCGCGACGAGTGCTAGTGCTTCCGGCCTGCTGGCCCGTCATGCCCGCCCTGCGGCTACGCGCCTGGAGCCCATGGCGGTCGTGCCGTTGCGCCGCAGCTACGCGACGCCATCCGAGCTGCCGCTCGCTACGGACGTGCAGGCGAGTGAGTCCGATGTGGCGCGCCTGCTGCGCCAGCGCAACGTCGGTATCAGTGCGCACATCGATAGTGGCAAGACCACGCTGACCGAGCGTGTGCTGTACTACACCGGGCGCATCAAGGACATCCACGAGGTGCGCGGACGCGACGAGGTCGGTGCCAAGATGGACAGCATGGACCTGGAACGCGAGAAGGGCATCACGATCCAGTCGGCCGCGACGTACTGCAACTGGAAGGCTACACCGCCGACCGAGCGCAGCAACATGACGGGCGACGGTGCGGACGAGTCGGACTCGACGGCGCGCAAGGAGGACTTTCACATCAACATCATCGACACGCCAGGGCATGTCGACTTTACCATTGAGGTCGAGCGCGCGCTGCGTGTGCTGGACGGCGCCGTGCTTGTGCTGTGTGCCGTGTCGGGCGTGCAGTCGCAAACCATGACTGTCGACCGCCAGATGCGCCGCTACTCGGTGCCGCGCCTCTCGTTCATCAACAAGATGGACCGCGCGGGTGCCAACCCATGGCGCGTGATTGAGCAAATCCGCACCAAGCTGCGCATGCCAGCGGCGGCGCTCCAGGTGCCGATCGGCGCCGAGGACCAGTTTGCCGGCGTCGTCGACCTGGTGCGCTGGAAGGCCGTGTACAACGAAGGCACCAAGGGCAATCTTGTGCGCGAGAGCGACGAGATCCCCGCCGAGGTCCTCGAGCTCGCACAGGCCAAGCGCCAGGAGCTCATTGAGCAGCTCTCGGACGTTGACGACGAGATGGCCGAGATCTTTATCGAGGAGCGCGAGCCGACCATCGAGGAGCTGGCCGCTGCGCTGCGCCGCGCAACCGTGGGGTGCCGCTTCTCGCCCGTGTTCCTCGGCACGGCCATCAAGAACAAGGGTGTGCAGGCCCTGCTGGACGGCATGTGTGCGTACCTGCCGAACCCGATGGAGGTGCCGGCGATTGCCAACGACCTGAACGTTGCCAAGAAGGTCGCTGCGCAGGCGAGCGAGGCCGGCGAGGAGGCCGGCGCCGTGCAGGCCGCCGCGCAGGCGGGCTCCGAGGTGCGTCTTGTGCCTGCGACCGAGGCGCCGCTCGTCGGCCTCGCGTTCAAGCTGGAGGAGAGCCGCTTTGGCCAGCTGACCTACATGCGCGTGTACCAGGGCACGCTGCGCCGCGGCAGCATCATTTTCAACTCGCGCACGGGCAAGAAGGTCAAGGTGCCGCGCCTCGTCCGCATGCACTCGAACGACATGGAGGACGTGCAGGAGATTGGCCCCGGTGAGATCTGCGCCATGTTTGGTGTCGAGTGCTCGTCTGGCGACACGTTCACGGACGGCAGCACGGCGCTGTCCATGTCGGCGATGTACGTGCCCGAGCCGGTCATTTCGCTGTCGCTCTCGCCGGAAGGCAAGGACGCAAGTGCAAACTTTTCGCGCGCGCTGAACCGCTTCCAGAAGGAGGACCCGACGTTCCGCGTGCACGTCGACGCCGAGTCGGGCGAGACGATCATCTCGGGTATGGGCGAGCTGCACCTGGAGATCTACGTCGAGCGCATGCGCCGCGAGTACAATGTGCCGTGCCAGACGGGCAAGCCGCGCGTCGCGTTCCGCGAGACAATCATGCAGCCGGCCAAGTTCAACTACACGCACAAGAAGCAGACGGGTGGTGCCGGTCAGTTTGGTCGTGTGATTGGCTACATTGAGCCGATGCGCCTCGACGAGGAGACGGGCAAGGACACGGCGTTCGAGAACAGTGTCGTGGGTGGCAACATCCCCAGCGGCTACATCCCCGCATGCGAAAAGGGCTTCAACGATGCGCTCGAGAAGGGCGCGCTTGCCGGCTACCCCGTGTGTGGCGTGCGCATGGTGCTCGAGGACGGTGCGGCGCACAGTGTCGACTCGAGCGAGCTGGCGTTCCGCCTCGCGACGCTCACAGCGTTCCGCGAGGCGTTCCGCACGGCGGGCCCCACGATTCTCGAGCCCAAGATGTCCGTCGAGGTGATTGCGCCCGTCGAGTTCCAGGGCGCCGTGATCGGCGCGCTGAACCAGCGCAAAGGGACGATCGAGGACACCGAGGTGCGTGAGGACGACTTTACGATCACCGCCGAGGTCTCCCTCAACGACATGTTTGGCTTCTCGAGCCAGCTGCGTGGCCTGACCCAGGGCAAGGGCGAGTTCTCTATGGAGTACAAGAAGCACGAGCCTGTGATGCCCAACGTGCAGGCGGACATGGAGGCGGCGTACCGCAAGAGCCTCGAGAAGAAGTAGTTACTGTGACTTGTGTTGCATGCGGTCGATTGCGTCCCAGCGCTCGGGCAGCGTCGGAGCCGGGTGGAAGTAGGCGCTGTACAGCGGGTCGTGATGCGTCGTCGGCCGTCTGTGTGAGTACTCGTACGTACTCGTGGATCTGTAGCCGGAGGAGCGCGCGCTTCAGCAGCTCAGCGTACGACCCGTCGGCGTCCTCATGCTGCGCGAATATCGGTCCAGGGCGGCTCAGCGCCACGGCAAAGCTGCGTCAGTAAGGAAACGTACCGATCGGCCTCGAACTCAAAACGGCGCGACACGGCATTGATCACAGGGCCCAGCATGGTATGGAGCGGCTCGAGCAGCATGTTGAACAGGTGGTAGCCGACCAGCACAGGCAGGTACGGCACGCGTGCGACGGCGTGCGGGCCAAAGCCAAACGCACGGAACATCGCCGCGTTTTTGAAGAAGAGCGTGAATCCACACAGCGTCAGCGCCGGGTACAGTAGCTCGATCGCTGCCATCTTGGCGCCGTGCGAGTATGTCCAGTGCCCCAGCTCCTGCGCAAGCAGCGCCTCGATCTCGGCGGGGCTCAACTGCTGAAACAGCGTGTCTGTAAGGACAATGCGCTGGCTGCGCCCCCACATCCCCTCAACGTACGCGTTCGAGGGCCTGCTTCGGCTGCTCTCTTCAATCACGTACACGCCCTCCAACGGCAAGTGCACCTGCTCAGCGAGCACCGCGATGCGGTCACGCAGCGGGCAGTCCGGCAGCGGCGTCAGGCTGGTAAAGAGCGGCTGGATGAGCGTCGGGTAGATTACCGACCCCGTCACGCTGATCGCAGCGTAGCACAGCACTGCATACGCCACGAATCCATCGCCCGTCCAGCGCACGATCGGAATTAAGAGCGCATAGAGCGGCGACAGCACGATACCTAGAGCCAGTCCCTTGGCCGTATCCACGATGAATGCGAGCCACGACTGCATGCCGGAGCCGCGCTGCGCTTGCACGACCCATTGTTCAAACGCCCTCATGAATATCGACTGCGGCACCCAGATGAGCGACAATATGTTCGCGTACACGACCGTCGTCATCACTTCGCCCGGCGTCACGCCCAGGCGGCGTAGCAGCGCCGTCGATGCCACCCACATGTGCGCATCGACATTGTATAGGATTATGCCCAGCCTCGTCATGCACCCCAGAGCCTTTTGCAGAAGAAGCAAGCGCGTCATGTCGCTCCCATACCTCTGGCTCTTGCGAAAGTCCTCGTCGCTCACATGCTTCTCGAAAACCTTGGGCGGCGTCGTGACGCTATACATGCGGCACTGCCGCAACATCAAGTACATCTCCAGTAGTTCCACGGCACAGAGAAGCGTAACGGCGATCCGCTTCCATGGAATCGCATCCGTGTCCAGGTACGCCTCGGCCGCATGGATCGCGGCTTTCACACCGCTCAGGGCCATGCCACCGATGATGTGGAGCTACAGGAACCTGTGTCTACTGCGCCTTGCGCAGCGTCGCTTGCACACGGTCGATCGCGCTCCAGCGCTCGGGCAGCGTCGGGTGGCTGTGGTGGTACGCGCTGTACAGCGGGTCGTGGTGCATCGTTGATAGACTGTGTGAGTCGTTGGACGTACTTGTGGATCTGCAGCTTGACGAGCGCGCGCTTCAGCAGCTCGGGGTACGTCTCCTCGGCGTCCATCTCGCGCAGCTTTTGCACCCAGTCGCGTACCGTCGCATCCGGCGCATCACTAGTAGGGCCACGCTCAGCGAGCCAGCGGCGCGCCTCGCGCTCCGCGGGCGTCGGGCCAGGGCGGCTCAGCGTCACGGCAAAGCTGTGTCAGTCAGGCGACGTACCGATCGGCCTGGTACTCAAAGCGGCGAATCAGCGCATGGAACGCAAACTGCACCAGGGCGTCCGTCGGCTTTAGCACCATGTTGAACAGCTCAAAGCCGACCAACACAGGCAGGTACGGCACGCGCGCCACGGCGTGGGGGCCACTGAAGCCAAACGCACGGAACAGCGCCGCGTTTTTGAAGAAGAGCGTAAATACACTCAGCGTCAGCGTCAGCTGCAGCACCGAGACGGTCATCATCTTGGCTGGGTGCGAGTACGACCAGTGCCCCAGCTCGTGCGCGAGCACGGCCTCGATCTCCGCAGTACTCGACTGCTCAATGAGCGTGTCAAAGAGCACAATGTGCTTGCCGCCACCCGGCACAATCCCGTAAAAGTACGCGTTCGAGTGGCCGCTGCGACGGCTCCC